TATTTAAGTAACAATAACGAGAAATAAGGTTGTTTTTTCTAGTTTTGAATGGAAGATCATACGCAAATTCACCTGTCTAGTCATTGGTGTATATTTTAAACCATGCGTCGATGTGTGTGTTTTGTTGAATAGCAAATATATTAACTATATAACTTTTATACGTCTTATACCATATGATTATGCCAATATTCGCTTCTTCGTGTTTACTTTATTAACCCCCTTGACCTTAGAAAGGCCGTATCACGTACTCTACTTCATAACACACACACACCTAAAATTCCGAACCACGCCTGTGTCATATGATATTAAGAAACATTAATTAAAAAAACATTATATTTCTATGTACGGGTTATTGGCATTATGTGGTTGATTCTTGAAATATGACGACAAAAAAAAATCACTTCTTCACCTTGTTATGCAACATCATGTAAAAAATCCCGTTAAGAATAGGGATCAAAATGATAAAGCTTCTGAATTCTTGTTCATATTACTAAGTATTTACAACGTCTGTATATGAAAAGCATGAAAAATAGAAGACAAATACTAAAGAAAACTAACCAAAAATATTTAAAAACAAATTTCATTACAAAAATGTATAAACTGGTTATTACCTAAAAACTTCTTATCATATGTGTGATAGTATATTTCATCATAAATGTTCTAAAAAAAACAACAGAAACGAATAGGTAAATAAGTATATACACTTAGAAGCTATTACTGTATTTTACAAAACAAGAAAAAAAACGTTTTCGAGCCCTGTGTAAAGATACAATTCTTGTTTCACATCATGTCTGGTCCTGAATCTACTTATATTTATATAAAATCATGTCGCAATGGTTAATAACTATCTGTAGTAGCTGATGTATTCTCGCTATCCAGGTGCTCATCTCGAGGAAATTAAGCGCTCCTTTCAGAGAAAGCTGAATTGAAAACACGTCAGAAGTGACCTCTGCTGTAAAAGGTTACACGCTTCCCGCCTTCCAAAACGCGATTAAATGTGAAAAATACTTGCATGATATTTAAACTTTTTTCTTCTTTTATATCAGCTATACAATTCAAGCTAATAAAAGATCAATCAGTAGAGAATTTTAGTTACAATTTAAAATGTTAACTTTGTTATAAAAATAGGCATTTTTTTCCATTCGAAAATAAATAACGAATTTCACTAGCAGATGTTGGTCACGTGACATTTGATTAAATTTTGAATCATACACTTATTAAAACTTATTTCTATCATTTTAAAAGATATTTCAAAATAACCTATCTTGATTTCGATGAAAGTACTAATAATAAAAAAATAATTTAGCGTATTTGTTACTTATTTGAGTGTCAGGTTATATATAATAAACGATCTAAAGTTTCAGATATTTATTGAAATCATAATTTATACCGTTCTTCATTGTCTTCACGGTTTTGAAAATGTTTAGTACAGAAAAAAGTTCTATGCTTATTTTCTTCAGTAAATACGAAAATATGTTTTCATAATGTGTGATAACTCGCACTTTTGAGAAGGACTGAGAATCTGGCGACTGTTTTAGCGCACAGCTACACAACGGCCTATCAGGACTGTTTTCTCCGTTGATGTTCAGTTTTTAGCTCCTGTTACTGGAATCTGTTTTTTTTTTTAGATATCGAAACCACCAACCTGGATGTGAACTTATTTTATTACACAACTGACATCTATATGAAATATATATATGTATGTATATATATATATACAACAATACAGAAATCACTACAGGGGTACTAATGCTTTTGTTAACTTTAATAAAACAATAACATCAGTGCAGCAGTAACGAGAATATTACTAGAACAGCAGCTCACATTTCGGAAACTATACAAAAACCAAAAAAAAAACACTCTTTTGACCAGCAAGAACCACAAAGTCATGGTTTCACTTCCAATCACTAACTCATGACAAGTCCCTAACTCATCCATATAAATAGGGATCCCATTGTGTATCAATTCTATACATAATATACATACTGTATCGTAACACCTACCTTCATGACTTTGCTGCGCGTGTTTACATGCGTCACACATTAAAGTGATAAGTTATGCTCCGATGTTCAGCTATGTTCTTCGACATTAATAATGTGCATACCCCTTTTTTTCCCGAAAATTCTGAAACTTGATTAATGATATGTTTAATCAGCATACACTTCAGACATCAACAAAGTGACGCTGTTCTCTTGTAATGAGTTTATGATGGCATAATGATTGAAGACGAATTTCTTATAGAGTTACCGACACTATTAACTCCTCTTCAGAAATGTGTCTAAAACAGGATATAGTCAAATTTACTAAATAGAAAATGATTGCATCGTGTAAAAAAGCTCGGTTTAGTAAAATATCTACAGTCTGAAGCCAAAGGTTCTTATTATCGACAATCTAAACTTCTAACACGTGTGGCATCAGGATTGAGGATTATTCTAATAACCTGTTTTACATGTAGATTCAGAAATCTAAATCACTTGTACATTATAACATGAAAAAATTCTCCTCCGTGTAATAAGACAAATATCAATCTTAAACTAATGAAATATAGCAAAGAAGGTTGAGTAGTTGTTTTTGTTGGAAAAGTACATAAAGATTTACCTCTTTTAATATGAAAAGAAACAAACGTTTTAAGACTGTTGTAAACTACAAGAAATTTCATGACTTCTTGATATCTACCTAAGAAAAGTCGTTTCTACAAAAAACGCATGCATATATATATATATTTTTGATATTTTTGTAGGAGTTTTAACATTACTAACGTTGCACGACGGTGTGCTGCTCTCAGAATTTAAATATTGTATCATCGAATAAATATATATATTGGTATTCTCGTTCATATTTGTGTAACCCAGTAAGTTTACAGATTTACAACGCTAAAATCCGGGGTTCGATTCCCCGTGGTGGATACAGCAGATAGCCCAACGTGGCTTTGTTCAAACAAACAATTCATGCTCGTTCGAAAATAAAAATAAAATATATCATCGTTTTCTCAAATAGAACAAAACCAGTTTTACATATGTTCTGTAATTCCTTTAATGCAAAATCTTTAGAATAGCGAAAATATCATTATTTTAAAGCCCTGGCTTTAGTGTCGGCCACCAGTTAATCAGGGCTTCCTCTGGGTATTATCTATGTTTTCCTATTTTCACATACTTCAAACCATTATTCCACGGTTTGAGAAAGAAACCCTAGAACTGAGAAGAGGGTATTTTTAAAACTATATTAAAGTTACATCTGTCTTTGAAATGTGTAGATATATACCTGGTTTTAAAATCCTTCCGCGTTTGTAATAAATATTGATTAGAAATACTTTAAACATTCACGACTTTCTGGCGGCTTAATCTTAATCACGCTGCATCAGTTGAGCTCCATTAAACTTACAGTTATATCTGCGCAATGGTCCTGGCGGCTTAATCTTAATCCCGCTGCATCAGTTGAGATCCATTAAACTTACAGTTATATCTGCGCAATGGTCCTGGCGGCTTAATCTTAATCACGCTGCATCAGTTGAGATCCATTAAACTTACAGTTATATCTGCGCAATGGTCCTGGCGGCTTAATCTTAATCACGCTGCATCAGTTGAGATCCATTAAACTTACAGTTATATCTGCGCAATGGTCCTATATGTTTCGCTTGATTTTTTTAAATACGACATATAAATTATTCATAGAACTTCTAGACTCAGAGAGCAAGAGGTAAATAAATTACAAGATATCCAAAACATCACCAATGATCTCACTACATTTACAAACAAGATGGTTTACAACATGGACAAAATAAGGATCACTATATTTTATACATTTGTGTACCTTTTTATTACAGTACTGACAGCAGTAATTCGAATAAACGTAGTATTTTTGCAGATTAAATCTAAGTTTTTGCACACAGTTCTATAATTATCCACACGTTAAATATGAAGATATATACATATTAACAAGTTGAACAGTCTTTTTAACGTCCATTTCAATTTCAAGAGAGTCAAAGATAGACGCCAGCGCTCATCTGCTGGTTTCCGTTTTAAAAATGTGGTTTCGTTTCTCAAAAAAAAATATATATTATTTTACACATCCCCAAATTTCACTAACTAATTGCAGATTTTAGACCGCTGAATTATGTTTGTCCCTTAAAGGTAATAATTCATGTTGATAAACAACATGACAAATGAAATGTTGGGAGATCAAGTTAATCAAATATTGATAAACTGTTTGACTTTGACAAATTACATGAACTATTACAGGTTTATCAATATAAGTCTTTAGCTCCTAGGGTCAGTGTTTCTTGAGCGCAAAATGAATTAGCCTATCGTCAAAACAAATAATTTATGGCCCTATTAACAACAGAAGTGGGGGTGGAGGGTAATGAAATTTAAAACTATTCCCGTAGAAGACAAGGCTCACGTTTAATTGTTCAATAAAAATTCCAAATTTGAGGATAATTTCTAGTTAATAATATTCGGAAAACTTCAAATTAAAAAATGATGAGGATAAACGCAAACATTTGGAACTGATATTTTTGCGAAAGTTTGCAGGCCAACTACTGAAACAACTCTTGTTTCTATATGAATTCCATTTTTCATACTAATTCACCTTGAATCACGTTTATAATACTAAAACACACATCATATTGAAACTTACTTTTAGAATAATTACTTTCAGAACTTTAAATCTACCGGATTTTCGTAAATGCCCATATAAAATATATAAATTAATGTCTTCGATAGGTATTATTTTAATCTCCGAAATCTAATGCGTAGCCTAGTTAAAAGTCTGCTCAACGCTTTACGAAATAAATTTTTGGAACAACACGCGTTTCACAGGCATTTACACAAGGTAACACTTTTGTAAAATCTTTATTTGGATAAATGACTCCACGATGGCTGTTAGTTTTATATAAGTAAAATCATCCATGAGCGCTAAGAAACTGACATTTTCACACAGACGGAGAAAGTCTTATGTTATGGATATATCATTCTAGGAAATACAGAGATGCAATAACCTTATCAGTGCATTTCACCATTTGAGTCACAACTCATCTGTTTCATCTCAAGTTGGGTGTCGTTCTTGACGTTCAACCGCAAGTCGGAGGCGTTGTCCGAAAGAACGATACTTCTGCATTTCTGTGACTTGGAAATATTTGCATCTTCTTGTATATGTTTTGAAAAAATTTGAAACGCCGTTGAATGTTTTGATGAAGAAAGTGAAACGGTTCCATTTTGATGTTCTAATTCGATTGGTGGTACTACAGTCTCAGGACTGCAAGGAACACTGGTGATACTATGCTCGCTTCTGCTGTCTGGGCTGCTATCTCTGTTGCTGAGACAAGTACTATTTCCTGGACTGGCCGCACGAATAAAAAATCCCATCGGTTGAGTAACAGAGTTTATGAAAGATGGTGCTCCGGTATTTTCCTCCATATCCTGAATGCGGCGTTTTTTATTGTCTGAAAGGATATTTTCAATGCTAAACGAGCAAGGCTTCTGTGAGTGAACCTGAGAAGAATCTAGAGATATGCTAGAAATGCTCTCAGAGGAATCCTTCAGATGGCAAGTGTCCTCGTCGCTATCATCATCGACATCGACTTTGATCGTGTCTCCATTTTCCTTTCTAAAATGCTCTGATGCCTGATACCTACCATTGTTGTTACCGTCCAGATCTATCTTATTCAGAATATCACAGACGTCAAAGCCTAAAGCTTCCAGAAGTTTAAACAGATCAGAACCGAGAAGTTCCTTTGGTTCTTTTCTTGGGTTGGTCAACCTCAATTCACTTAGACTGTGGTGGATAGATTCCGTGGAGCTAGCTGCGTTCATACCAGGTTTTAATTTTGACTGTTGCATCCTCTTAATCTGCCTTTCCAGCTGCTTTCGGAGCTTCTTCTCTCTTCTATCTCTTTCCCGACGTTCCACGTCTTCTGGCGGGATAGGATCCCCGCTGCACGTCTGGGGGTGGGCGTTGTGTGCCGGGCGTCCCGGTCCCTTCCTTGTGTTCTCTTTCTTCCTCCATTTGGCTCGTCTGTTTTGGAACCAAACCTGAGAAAAGCAACAAATATAATAAGCATAAGTTTATAATACTTACTTCAGATAACGAACGTCACATTCCTCATACTCATGTATACCTATCCATACAGAATAAATTCAGTAACTTCGAGTACGGATCTGTTACGTTGTAGCAGTTCTTTGCGTCAAATAACTGTTCACGGGGACTTTTTCCCTCTTCTTTTGTAAATATTTTCAAGAGAACACCCGTATTAAATAGATTTATATGCTGAGATTGTTTTTAGTTATCTACGGACAAACATACTGAAATCCAAAAACTGAAGTAATTTAAATAAAATGGTAAAAGAGGTTTTTGTCTTATTTACTTTCAGTTGGCTTCAATTGCCCGAACATTTGTTTAGCAATGATTTAGTAATTGTATTGGAAGTTTGATTTTGAAGAAAAATGTATTTTTCATTGATGTATAAGTTTTATACAGCTTACCAGCTAGCTGTACTTATGCCCCCCCCCCCGTGGCACAGTGGTATGTCTGCGGGCTTACAACGCTAAAATCCGGGTTTCGATACCCGTGGCGGACAGCGTACAGCTCATTGTGTAGCTTTGTATTTAACTACAAACAAAACCTGTACTTACTTCACATAACAGCGTAATTAAATTAGTTTTTTATAATAAACCCAGTTTTTAATAAGGATTGTTATAGTTTTCAAGTTTTTGTCACATAAAGAGAACTATGTTTCGTATTATATTACATTAATAATAAGAATCTATATTACAGTCCTGTTTTTAAATTGGGTACGGCTTTACGATAATCTATACAGTTGAGAGACGTTGCAAGAACATGTAAGCAACAGAAAAAAGTTCCTGGAAAATCTTTATTGAGGCTCCTAACAGAATTCTGGGTAGATTAAAAGTGTACTAGTTTCCATACGTACATATTTGCCGAAACAAAAACGATAGATAAATTTGAAGACATGCACTGTATGTTTAAAGTTTAAAATTCCGCGAATTCCTAAACAGTGTATGTAATTAAAATTAAACACTGTTGCGAAAATCAAATAATGTTTTCAGAAAGTACCTCGATAACTTTTAGCAGGTCACGTAAATAGATGTAGCACAAATTGGGATATATAAAGTGAACTAAATCATACAAAAAACATCATATAACGTCAAAATGCTGAAGATATAATAAATGGCCATATAAACAGGGCTCAGATTAATCTTATTTTGTCAAAGTGCGGTTCAAGTAAGTTATAGTTTCGTTTTTAACTTAATAAGATTCTAAAGGAAGAAACCCAATCTTATGGTATAGAGAAACATGAAAACATACATAAACATAAATGGGAATGTTTATGAAGACTTGTCACGGAAAATGGTCAAGTTATCTACTGGAATAACTAAAAGTTGTTTCAACTTCTTACTGTAAGCTATGAACAATAAGTTAAAAGTAACGGTCTACGGCAATACTGAAAAAAAAAAAAGGCACGTTTGAATTTTTTCTTTTTGGAAAATTATTTAAGCTAACTTCTAGCACACTCTTAACAACGGCAGGCTCAAACCACTTTTGATCATGTTACATACCTAAAGCTAAGTTGTCCATGGAACAGAGAATGTTTTAGCTGATTTCACGGCAAAACGTGGGAATTTTATGGAATATAGAATATTTTTATTTTTACTTTACTAATATCCTGATATGTTATATTCTTATTATCCGGCCCCCCAGTGGCACAGCGGTATGTCTGCGGACTTACAACGCTAGAAACCGGGTTTCGATACTCGTAGTGGGCAGAGCACAGATAGCCCTTGTGTAGCTTTGTGCATAATTAAAAACAAACAAACAAACAATCTTATTATCCTACTTCTTTCACTTAAAATGATGCCTAAACATCTTTCTATACGATATAAATAAACAGGTATAGGCTTAATTATCAAAGATTTACATTTTGAGCTAGCTGTTTTTATAACTGACACCAACACCCCCTACCACCACCACCAACGTCTTAATTAAAAGGTGCTTACCTTTCACCATTAGCTACAGATACAATTATTTAACAGTGTGCAAAGTAAAAACTGTAAAATTTCAAGTAAAAAAAATCGTGCACAAACTTTTGTTATGCAGGTGGTTAGAAAACCTGAAAGTTTGTTCTTGTCAGGTAATTAGACAACATGATACGAGTTGGTACCGTGAAGTGACGGTTTCGTGCCCGCGTAATGATGTACCAGAAATTAATTGGATGCTGTAAATTAATAAGATAAGCGTCTCCTTGAAACCCCTATTCAACCCCTCCACAATAAAGACATCAAAGGTGAATGGTACAACAGGTACGAGTACACAAATACTAAGAAACGGGGCGGGAGATGACTAGGTTTAACCATATAGAGTGGTCATTCATCCTTTTGTGGTGTGGCGAGAAACACTTATAAGTTGCCATGTCATTAACACATAGCGTTGATCGCAGAACCGATAAGGTGAGTGAAAAAAAAATTAAATGGTTTGCATAGCTTCGTGCTGTAAACTCAGCTTCATTTATGAACAAGCTTATTAACCATATGAGGACAGAATAGTTGCAACAACCACCAGCCATAGTTGCAACAACCACCATGTCTATTTAATAGATCAGCAAATTTCAACATTTCTTCTAATTGCCTTTTGTTGTAAATTATTCGGTTCCTACGTTCTAAAGAATTTTGTTGAAGGCTTCATTCATATTTAAAGGATTAAATAAGTCAATTCTTATATATATATATATATATTGGTTTAGAAAAATTATCTTTACCTGAGTTCATTTTGTAAGGTTATTCTTAGACTTATAGATCATGGTTTAAGTGGTTTCATTGTTGCATGTTGTAAAGTTAAAAATGCGCAACGTGCGATTTCCTCAGCATAGAAACATTCTAGAAAACATGGCTTATAACCTTAAGTTACGGAAAACGTTTTTGTCAGTAAATTTTTTAATGTAGTAGCATTAGGATATTTGGTTTCTTCGGTCCCAGAATGTTATGCTCTGAAGTAGAAACAGTAAATTTGGTCACTGATATTAAGTAGAAAGGCTGTTATAGTAAATAATTCTGAATAGAACAACCACATGATACCAGGAATGTTTAGGTAACGATTTATCATCTCAACACTCCTGTCATTTTAAAAACACAGTTTATTTCGCAAACTCCTGATAGAAGTATATTATACTTTATACAGTAGAACTGAATATGTGGTTAACATATAAAAACAACAAAAAAACTGCCTTCAATGTAAAACACCGAGTCTAATTCACACCATGGTTTGTATTAGTCGTGTGATGTGGCTATTAAAATAGTAAAAATAGAAACACCAATGTCGATGGAATTGATTCCTAGAAAATAGTAGTTCATAGTCAATATAATTACCAAAAATTCGTGTTTAGCCAATTTTCCACGTGCAGGGTGGATAGTTGATCTAAGCCACAGCAAATAAGTGATCTACACTCTGTGAGCTTATTAGAATGACGGCACTCCTACGTGTGGGATCATCAGCTTGGATGGAGGATAATAGTCAATGGGTACGTGTGGAATCATCAGCTTGGATGGAGGATAATAGTCAATGGGTTTCGTAATTCGGGGAAAGCTGTTATGTATTATATTTAACTTAAAATATGTTATTATGTGCTATTATGTCTGTATGGAAAATGTTATATCGATGTTTTTTGTTTATTTTTACTTAATTTTCATTTAATAATTTCAACTTTTATTCCATTGCTCAATTAGTTTGAAACTAATTAAAAACTAATTAAATAAGCAGTTTTCTGTTTCTTCTTTTTTTCTCTGTATGACTCAAGTTTTCTACATCGTACTTCAAAGTTATATTACTCCCTATAAAAGAATACTGTACGTTTTCCTACAATATTAATAACTTATTAAATTATGATTAATTTCTAGTGTTGGCTTTGGGATAATTTCAGATGTCCTTAAAACGTCCAATGAGAACAAATCTACGTATGAGAAAATCCTTACGTTAATCCTGTTAAGATAACATTATATACAGATTATGGTTTGTGTGGTGCAGAAAAAATGTTACTTCTTGTACTATATTATATATACATTCCAATGCCCAATCAGAAGAAAGTAGAGTGAACGTGTTATGAACCGCAAATAAAAGAACTATAAAAGTATTTCTTCTCCCACCTTTGAGGCTCACTTGTTTATCCATTTTTTAACCTATGTGAAAGAAATTATAGAAAGAACAAGCTTTAGAACTGTGTCAACCATATGTAGGTAATTACAATAGTACATTGTTAGTTTCAATGGCAGAAGTTTACTTCATGCACCACAGGAGGAGATAGAACCTTCAGAAGGAAATGCTATTTTTTTTGTTATGCCATTGAAACTAAAGTCATTATATGTCGTTAGTTTGACGCATGTGCAGTGCTTTATTGTTCGAGTTTCATCGCAAGTTTTGGACCAATGAATGCCCTGTATTTGGTAAAGCTCAATGTCGCTCTGGTAATTTTTTCAAAGTTTTTTTTTATAATAGTTTCAAGAATATATAAGTGCTTTCATAGACTCTTCAAATTTTCTTTTGTAAACGTTATAACCTTGTATGTGCCTCATTAGATGAAAACATTAAGCCTCTTGAAACGATGTGGATATTCTTACAGACAGACAGTCCACTTTCAACATATCTTATTGCGTTATTATTATAAATACCAAAGTTTTCACATATGTAGAAGAGCTTATAAGTGGCAAAGCTTTTCAACAGAACAACGTCAAGTTTGGAAGGCTGAGCAAAATTTGGCATGTATATTTAATGAAATTGGAAATTTTACAGCCTTTCAAGAAATTATCTATAATTGTGATGTAATAGGCATTTATTTTCTGTCATTGACCCACACAAAGTAGCATATAAATTTTCATCACAAAACTAGCATTCAATCTGATTAGATTTGTCGTTGCTGTTGTTTGGTGAAAAGTTAAACAATGGGCTATTTGCGTTCTGTCCAGCGCGGGGAATCGATCCCCCAAGTTTAGCGTCGTAAATTAGGAAACTTACCGCTGACGAATCGGGGGACTTTAGATATATATTTATAGAGGTAATAGTTGTTTTGGATGATATAACAAAAAAAATGCGGTATTTCACGAAACAGGTTTTTTTTCTTCAAGAGTAATTGACAGTGAAATCACTTAAAAATAAAAAATAAAAAAACATGTTTGACTTTGCTACACCCAAATGCCGAAAATATTTCGAAAGGACTTTATGGTGCTTAATTGATATTCAAAGCTCTTACAAAGCTTCTACTCACATTCGGGTCTTTAACGTCATATTTCAATATGACGTGTACACTTTTTCAAGAAACGAGTGATTAGTGGCCGGTAATGGAATTCTATTAAAGTTTAAGTCAAAAACATAACCTTTATATTCATATGTCATTTCTCCTTAAATTCTAAAATAAGTTTATTTGATACTATGATGTCATATTAAAAAGAAGGTATATACAGACATTTGACAATTGCTATGGGGTTAACTATCTACAGGGTGTTAAACCTTTGAAGCAATGCGAGATCCATAGCTCCTGAGCAAACAATTCGATAAGGCATAAAAAAAATGTGCACACCTTCTAGTATGTACCCTTTCGTCTTTCTAATGCAAAGTGAAGGTGGATTTAGTTGAACACCCTATCCGAAAATGGACATTGTCAGGAGAACCAAATATGTCTGTAGAAGTTGTTGATGCTACTATACTTGAATAGTTTAGTTCAGATGATTTTTTTGTCGTCGTCGATATTCACACCGAACACAGGACACCGATTAAAACTATCCGTGTTACAACTTGTTCAGTTCTGCTTAAGGACAGGGGAATGTGTGCATCATTATGTATGTACTCTGCCTTATAGTAATGTCATTGTGCGTTCAATGCATTCAAGGTTTGATGGACACTTTGTCATAAGGCAGCATTAAATTATATTAAACCTTCAGTACAGATATGAGAACGTAACACAGTTCTTTGACGTTTAATTCACCTTTATTACCACATGGTAATTAATTCACTTTTTTAGGCAGAATAAGTTTGAATACTCTAAAGAATAGCGAGAACAACTAATTAAAGCACAAGATAGGTTACATTCATTACAAGTAGAAAAGAAGACGAAAAAAAAAAAAGTTCTAGCTTTTGTGTTTCATTTAACAAAATGAGTAAACCTGTAACGTTACAGTTAAATCCCATAAGAAATCGGGTTCTTGAATGTTTAATTTCGAATATCCGTTATTATTATTATCTAGCATTGTTTTATTATAATCAGTATAAGACAAGAAAAACATCTACAGGAAGAAGATTTAAATTCTACTTAGAAAGATAGACATCAAACGTTGAAACATCCTATAGAGGAGCCATTATCTCTCATACTGCACGATTTTCCCATATAGTTATGTTGGATTTCTATAAACATATCACACATGGCCTATTCTTGAAGTTTAATACTGTATATCTGTTCTGTCAGTTCAGTGGAACAGTTGTGTAAGTTTACACCAAATGGATATATTTGCTTTTAAACTCTATAAGACTAGAATACTAGCCAGTATGATTACTATTGCCCTTGAGAAAAGAACAGGCGCGTCACCGCCCAGTTTCCATTGTTTCTCTACCTTATTCACTAGAGGGTGTTGCAAACTGTGGAACAATTTGTATACTTAGGAATACTCATGCTGCTAATTTAGTTTTATAACATACACAACCACGTGTTTCTCTCGTGTTTTAACAAAAGGTGTTTTTTGCTTAGATTTGAAACATTAGTGGCATTTGATAAGAAAGAAGAATATAAAAAGTAATATTTTTGAAATAACCACAGAATATTCTCGAGAACTCACAGGAATAAATCTACATTTTTACAGACACATACGTTTGAGTACAGAAATGCTACCATGATTATCGATATACACACTAATACGTGTTTGAAACTTAACAACATTCCTTATTTAATTTGCATATATAAGTAAAAAAGTCAAAATTGTCATCAAGATGTAAAGTCCATTCTAAACATTCTTTTCATTACTTGCGTCTATTTTTGATACATGAGAATAGATCAAAGGTCACTCTAGTGCATAAAATTTTACATATTTTACTTACGTCTTAAAAACTTGACATACAAAAAAAATGACGAAAACAAAGTAGCGCGTGAAATAAAATTTCCTGTTTAAATATATAGGTAGGTAGTTAACGCTGAAACTATCTGTGAACTATCTCAGTCTTCTTCTTTAAGATCTGACATTCGAGACGTGAAAAATCGACATATCTATGTATCCTTATAGAAAAATTGAAACATTCCAATTACTTCATTTTCGACAAGGATTCTGTTAAATAGCTGATGTGGCTAATGGCTGAAACTCATTTTAGAGTTTACAAAATAAAATAAACTTCGTTATGTTAACAGGTTGTTGTGCTTACATACGAAGCTATAATATGGTGTATTCTTTACACCTTATAATAGTAATTACTCCCTTATTCTAGATTTTTCATAAATCTAAAACAGGAGAGTACTGGTATAACAGCGTGTGTTGTTTTAGTCCGATACTATGAATAGACATGTAACAATCAGTGCGATATGAAGAGATGATGTTATAAGTTATCACTCCAAGTTATTTCATGTTTTGTATATTGCACCACCATACAGTTGCAGAGATGTCTTACCTTTTAATTTGGACGTTGGCTACCAGATGGCAGGGCCGTAGTAGCAGTGTTATGACGCTTTGTGTCATGTCCATTCATGATATCATCCTTTTTTTTTTACAGCATTATTTTTGAAGTGGTACAAAAACGTAAAAGTTTTAATGTATTTTCAAGGCTAAAGAAAGAGCTAATTTAACTTCAAGGTTTGTGGTAGGATAACGTTGAATTATACATGACAGGAAATATTTACAATGGGAGATAAGTTGCATAAGGCTGTCACAATGCTCATCAACCATGGCACATTAAGTAAGATGAAACAAACACATAAAAATCATTTCACGTTGACATTAAATAATAAAACGACATGAATCATGTGAAAACAGAAATACGTCATAAATCAGGTTTAGTTTGGTTGGTATTAAGCACAAAGCTACACAATAGGTATCGAAACCCAATTCTCAGCGTCGTAAGCCTGGAGACTTATCATTGAGTCTCTGAGGTGCTATAAATTGGAAGCTGAAACTGGCAAAAAAGTTATCTTTGAAATTATTATTTGATACACAAACTCAGATTTTTTTGCAACTTCATACAGTTTATTTATTGCATCAATTTAACATGGAGAATAATGCGCTGCAGTTAGCTGAACAAGTGTAATACTGACTCATTATTTAAGTGTCAGAGAAGATACGTCACCGTCAGGCCCGCCGACAGGGGGAGGGGCAACTGCCTAGGGGCCCGGGCGAATGAAACCTGGTTATGCCGTAAAGCCCACATTAAGAACGACTGAAATAATAATTTGAATAATAATTAATATGTATTTGTTACTTTATAGATTTAATAGATATTTGTTGTTACTTTATTAACTTTTTTACGCTTATATTGTGAGATAAAAACGGCTGCTGCTATGATTTTGTATGGTTTATGAGCTCGTTGCTGTCCTAATTTAGGATCTTCTTTTTAATAAGTTCTTGAAAATGTTAAAAAAAGGGAGTGAGAAAGGGGACCCGGCGAGGATGTTTGCCCCGGGGCCCGTGCTGGCTCTCGACGTTCCTGGTCACCGTTCATGGGATCTTCAATTTTTCAACGGAGTATTTCATTTGGGTCTTGACATTTTTTTTAGTTGACGCTTCTTAACTTATTTTATGTTAATACAAATACCTCTGTTATTTGAAAAAAATAAGAATAAACTATCAATTAAAAAGTAGTCGGTCTTCTTGTCTTTAAAAGGTTTAGCATATTGATTTGAGATTATTAACTAGGCTACTGTTATCTAGTATGTATCTCTATAGAAAAACAACTTCTGTGACGTTTACATGTAATGTAGAAGGCCAATGTCCAGTACATACAATTATTATTATCTGTGTCTCTAACTGCCTCACCTAAAATGTAAACTTTCTGCAGTCTTAAAGAATATACGGACTTGACGAATTTATTTGTCGCGGCTGTGTCGAAATCATCAAATGTGTAATGATTTCGGTTATGAAACCGAATCGCCTTATTTTTCTGTCTTTTATGGTGGTGATTTGAATATTAAACTTCTTAAATGTGTGTCTATACACATATATCAAGTATAATAAACAAGTTATACCATGAAGCGTAAAGAAAAGTGAAACTGCTACATATACTCTGCGAAGGATTCACACGGAATACTTCGTCAAACACATTCCTACGTATACTTATATATCTACAGTGCATATATAAAAAGAAACGGCTACCAGTCATGACTGGATGCCTGAAATTGTAGTGTGTCTAATAGCTCTCTTAAATTAGAACTAATTCCGCGTGTAATAAAGATTTCCGGAACTGGTTTTTAATGAGCCATAAAATTGTACTAATTTTGCTTCTATAGGGATTAATCACAGCATTACCTGTACTCTTGACTCCACTAAATCTAATCTCATCGCCAGGGCTTCTCGCATGAAAACGTCTGGATAGTGGCTAGCCTGAAAGGCTTTCTCCATTTCCTCCAACTGCCAGCCGTTGAAATTGGTCCTTGTTCGACGCCGCTTTCCCTGTCCACCGCTCCCTAGCGACTCTTTTTCGCTGTCCGAGTCTATGGCAAAAATAAATTAGTTAGACTGCAGGCGAGTACAGAATTGAAAATAAACATGAACGTATTATATATATGAGGTTTTACATTTCAGATGCTACTAAACTATTTTCAAATAATTAAGGCTACACCAAATATTCTAAAGTCTTCTTCACAAAGAGAATGAACGATGTGGATCTCTTAACGGTTCTAGAATAAAAGTGTGTACTCCCAGATTTAAGAATACGGCATACGCTCGATAACCGACAAATTACATTATGAAACTTTTCACTAAGTAGCTGTAATTCTGACAGTGGTACACCTGTAAAGACAGTATATAAGCCATCTAAAAAAAAAATCTTTTCAATTTTCACTACATAGAAAATATTACACACGTATTTTGGAGGTTATGAAGGAAAAGAAACAATGTAACATTAAACTTCTTTGCTCACGAGATCTTGTATTAATATTGGGTTTTTATGTCCCGTGTTGAAGGCAATTACAAATTTGTTCTACGTGTACAAAGGTTGAGTTCGTTATGCTAAAACGATTCTGGGGCCTCGCTACGTCGGTATATTTCACATTGTTACTTCCGATCATGTTATATCTGACAGCTGTACATCTTGACAATAGCCCTGCAGCGTAGTTTCCATTGAAAAAGGCTCCGTAGTAAAGATGTCATATGAAAAGTACACCACAACTATAACTTCCTGCTTGCTTTCTATAAGCCATCTTAGTGTACAAGAACGATAACTGAACAGTCCAGTTGCACAGAAGCTCATAGATACTGTGTCTGACAACTTGACCGGTATATCTTCAAATGAAATAGCACGAATGCCCTTCTCATTCTCCAGTTGTTTGTGAATATACAACAAGCAAAAGGGAGGTATATTGGCCTCGTTTCCAAACAGATAATTTTCTTGATCATGTTGCCTGTGGCACGTGAAGCGCTTTTGCTATTGTCTTCCGTGTTCATGGTTTATCACCTTTTACAAGACACCGTATTTTGCTTAGAACGGCTGAGGTACGACTTGTTAAAGGTCTCTTTCTGGGTGGTTCTGGTGCCCCAAGTTGTTCCATATTATTTTGTCTTCCAGTGCCATTAAGTACAAGGGATATTACCGTCTTTGAAATTCTAAATCCAAGTTCTGATCTAAGTGTATCAATATTTTGCGTTGGAAAGGGCAGCTAAATACCCTTCAAAAAAACGATCAATATAATTAAAAAATTTCACTACATTCACTACATTAGGTTTTAAAACATACACTTTTTTGTAAACTGATTTTTCGTAAGTAAAATATGTGTAATCACTGGAAGCTTAAACAATCGAGCTTCATTCACGTGAACTTTTAGATGTTTACCAACTAAACGCTATAATTAGTGAGTATACTGAATGTAGCCTATTATGATAACATAAGCATAAAGGATGCATGTATTCAAATATATCCTGTTTATAGAATCAATAACTTATATGCAAGAGTAAGTGCCACATTTTGCTATGGAATGGAGGAAAAAAAGTGCCTTAGAAACAACATCTAATAGAAATATTTAGTTCTTAATTAGTATCCATGGATTCTGTATATTCACAGAAAGTACTCGAGGTACTGAAACAAAAAATAAAGTATTCAAAATATTACATTTAATGTTATCAAAACATACACTTGTCTATGAAATACCATTATGTTTCGATGTTCAACCAACCGAAATGTTTTAGTAAAGCAAAGAAAGTTTGGCTCTAAAGGTTGCTATATACACTAGAAACCGTACTTGAGAATTATGTTGACATACTCTACTGAAATATTGTTCATAATATACATAATGGCCTTAAAACAATTTCGCTTTTCTTCATTGATACATCATTTCTTAAATTCACACACACACACATATATATATATGCTTTGTGGTAATTTCAAGTCTAATTGCATAGATATCTTTGCTCTGTAGATTACATTAAATGTTTTTGTAGTATTAAAACCCAAAGTGTCTCACTTTATTTCATAAACAACAATATATTCAGTAACATGAATATTAAACATGAATTACACGTGAGTGTCTACATTTTTCAGATTACAACATACAATAGTTTAACAATGTGCAATGTGTAGTCATTATAATATTTGGAACTACTAAATAAACATCAGTTGTCAATAAACGATTGTAACTCAAAATAATGGAAAATGTGGCTCACTGAAAGCTTTAACAAACATTAAAAGAAGGCACAAGAAAGCTAAGCAAACTCCTTTACTCAGTCCTAAGTTTAGAACGAAAATTTAATCCAATGAATTTTATTTATAACTTTCTTTAGTATACTCAGTTCAGTGAGATCGAAATGAGAGATTACATTTTGTTCATCTATTTGTGACAGGGCTGTGGGTAGTTTAACGATAATATTATTTCCGTTCTCTTTAAAAAAAAAACATAAAGATAAAAATATACATCGTAACAATGGGAAACTACAATTTGCCGATAAGTAAAACAGAAAAACTTTGACTGTTTGAGAAGCGATGGTTTGTTTAAACTTTCAATTGAAAATGTTTTTTTCTTATCTTCAGTAGGAAATCGATAGCTGATTTTGTGTTTGAAAACATATACTAACTACTGTAAGAAGAGTGTAAGAAATAAAGATAAAAATGGTTTCTAACAACAACAATAAAGTGATTGGAGAATGCGTTTAGCAAAGATATATTTTCCTGGGCAATAATAATAATAACTGATTCTATGCAGTCAATTAGTTCATGTACAAATATTAAAAGAACAGAGTTTAAAAAACAACTTAAAAAAACTAACCTGACATTTATAAAATGAAATATGAGACTTTGCGCTTATATATATTTGACAGTTAAGTCTTAGTTGTTAATTTGCGTAAAGTCGAATAAAACGGATGAGATATAAATAATATCGTAACATACTGTACTACCAAAAACATTGGGACTGTCGATTTTAGACAGAGACTATCGTGTTTTGCTTCCTTACTCATTAACATTGAACCAAGACTATAAAGTCCAAACTAACTATAACAAGCTAATATAAAAATATTACACAATGAACAGAAGTATTCTCTGCTACTCATGGTGGTTTTCCATTGTTTTGCATTGTATTTTCCCATTTTATATACCATGAAAGCTGAAGCATCACAGTCATGACTATGATGATCGCTTAGTGGGCTCCAACCCTTCCATATAGATCCTCGAGTGCAGCGGATGGTTTAGTCTGTAGGCCTTTCATAAAGTTCTTCCATGGAGATGCTTGAATGCCAGGTGGTTTCGTTTTGCAAAGCGTTTTCAAAGTTTATATAGACTAAGGAGTAATAGTTTTTGGATGGCTGGGCTGATATTTGTCAAAAGCACGCCCAATGGAATGAAATACCTTGGACACACACATGTCACCCAAACTATATATAACAACCATTTCTGATTAAAGAGTGGTAATATTGACTCCAACTGACTCACAGTAACAGCTTCTGACTCTGTGCAGCAGCACGCCATGAGATTCAAATACAAATTCAACGGGAAGAGGCCCACTACTGGTTGGAGAGATGCTTTTCTAACACACTTCTGGTAATGTATTAAACATTGACTGTGTCTCGGAAAAAAAATAAAAAACTAGTCATTTCGTAACATAGTACAAGGTCTCAACTGAAAGTCTAAGCAAAGCAATTTTCCTGGACTATCTCGACATATGAAACTTAATCACATTCTCTTTTATACCTGAATATCGAGAATTTATCGCATTTTATAGAAATGGTGTTCCAGATCCACGTTCTTTGAAAGAGGCTATGGTATAATCCCCTAGTCAAAGTCTATCCTTATTTACTGTCGAATAATTGAGAATTCTATATGAACCAAATATCACTACTGAACATGTTGCCTGTGGTACCACAGTTCCCATCTGCGGCAACACTTCATTGGATTAGTATATGTAAAGTGTTATATAAAGTGCGATTAATCCTGTGCAGTCTTTCTTCTTTTCTATCATTTTTCTATTATTCCACTTTAACATGCGTGAGAACAAAAACGGTTATGATAATTAAGCTGACAAGCACGAAGGCTTTTTACTTTTGTAAATGCACCTAAAGTCTAAAGTACTATAACTCACCCTCGTGGACTGAAATTTCTACGTGTAAGCAGTCCTGAACGAGTAAACTAAACCCCAACATCTATGTTCGTAAAGAAAAGATGCAATGTTTTACACTTTCTATTAACGTAAATAGTTAATATATCATGCTGGTTTGACACGAAGGTACGAGCATATCCGGAGTCTTCTGAGAATATATTCGACTGCACTAAACGAGGCACAGGTAGTGTATAAGCCGATAAAGAAGGGGAGACACGCCTCTCTTCTGGAGTTCGGAACGATACTTATTATTAGCAGTATACAGAGTTAACTTTTATAGTTGCTTTGGTTTATTTCGGACTTTAGCACAAAGCTATTCGTTCATAATTTCGAAATAGTAGACCGCAGAAAAGGCAGCTAATCACCAGCACCCTCCGCCAACTCTTTGACTGTTTTAATAGATTAGTGGGACTTGTCTTATAAAAAAAAGCCCCGGCCCAAAAGTGCGGAGCGTGATTTTTTTATTATTTTGCGGAAGTTGGACGAGAACTACGGATCCTTAGTTTCACAGTCCGGAACGCTAACGACCCTGTAAAAACCAAACTGTGCATTTAGAGATGTTAGTAGAACTGTAACACAACATGGTACTGTTACTCTGTCCAGTCAACAGAATTTATCTTACAGAACTACCATATTTCTTAGTGCTTATTGTACCAAAACTTTAGTAAAAGTACAGTTCTTGATTTATGTAAAAAGGGGTCAGGAAATGCATAAATATAAATATCTTATTTTAAAAAACTCGGTTATGTGAAAATGTTTTTTTTTTTCAAGTTTTCATATTCCATTGCAGAAAAGCTTGGTCAAGTACTCATCTCTATATACGTTTGGAAGGTCCAGTAATTAGTTATATTAAACCCCAAACTCGGAACATTTCTTACACTCGTCATTACGGGTATTTAATTTCAGACTTTAGAATATAAATAAACAGAACCATGACATGTTTCATAATTACAGCGTTATGGTTTGTTTTCTTTTCATTCTAAATCTGAAATTTTTCTTGTTTATTTGTTTGTAGTTAAGCACAAAGCTACACAATAGACTATCTGTGTTGAGCCCACTACGGGTATCGAAATTCGGTTTCTAGTGTTATAAGTTCGCAGACTTGCTGCTGTGCCACTTGGGAGGTGGGGGGGGGGATGGCGAAAGATTTCTAGAACTGTGCGATAATGTTTTATTTTCAAGTGTACAGATTTCTTTACCTGTTCACTCATTATTTATCAAAATGATTAAATTGTTACTGCATGACCGTGAGCAAACTGGCCGTGACAAAAAGGAAAATTATGACGTAAATATTTACAGTAAAGGAAAGAATCTAAAAGTAATTGTAGGAAAAATAAATATAAATTATGTTATTCAACAATGAATTATATAACTTAAGATTCTTTCAAAACAATGGTTTCAAACTTTAAAGAAAAATTATTTTGAATAAGAAATGTTTAATTTTAATGGAAATTTAAAGCCAAGGGCACCAGCCTACTGAAGTGATTAAACAAAATAGAATTTATTAAACGACCCCCATGGTCCAGTACTTGACTATTACCTATAAAACGGACACTAATCCTCCAAAATGCTTAAAACTGCAAGGGATCATTTCAGCACATATCCCATAATACCTCAAATAAACAATACATTTACCAGTCTTCTGTCCATGGCTTTATGTTAGTTGTTTCCTTAAGTTGTGAAATTTCAAACTGAGCTCTGATTTCGTTTTGTCCTCTGTACTTGAGATGAATGAAGGTGTTTTTCTTTCACAAATGTGCCTATACTCGACCTTAAAACTGGAAAACTACAAACCTTCTCACATTAGATATTAGTTAAGAAAAGGCTATGGATAGCAACATAGAGACAGAAGTATAATATATGAACTACTTATATTCATATTATCATTGACTATAAACTAATATTTTTTTTTCCTATTTTGTGCAGAAGTTTTGAACATTTGAAACGTTCCGAGCTCGTACCCGGGTAGTTCAGCAGTAAGTCTGGAGGCTTATAAGGCTGAAAATTCGGGTTTGGATACCCGCGGTGGGCAGAGCTTGGATAGTCCAACTTGTAGCTGTATGCTGAACAATAAACATTAATAAAAAATACTTCATTAACAACATACAAACATATCATTAAATTTCATCTCCCTGTCATGGTTTAAATCTCATGGATATACAGGTATTTTTTCTGTTATCTCGCAGCATTTGTATACTCAGAAAACATGCCTTCTAAGAAACAAAAAAAGGGTTACGTTTACTTATAAAAACATATTTTATCTTTTATATACAAAGATTTTTGTAAACAATTCTATTTTACACAGCCTTTTGTGTTTTCATATTAAAAAGTATATGTCTTACAGTTAGATTTTCTGAACTACCGCAATACTTTATAAGTGTCTTGTGAGCTACTTAAATATTATGTAGCTCTATGCTTATATATTATATTGTTTTACGTAGAATAATCCTACTGTATTGTTCTTAATATTCCTCTTTAATGAACTATATATTTATTTCATTTGCTTGTTCATTCTGACATTATCACTTCCAGGAATAAAAAAAGAGGTTTTTAATGTTTATTTAAACACCCACACTAACCAAGATGATTAGGGGGTTTAGATCTCCACAAAGTGTTTCATAATATTTTAGCTACGATCTTTCGTTCATCTTCTAGTCGAAGAGAGGGCGTAACACTCTGATGACCTGCTACTGCCCTCTGGACTCGAATGAAATAACAATAAAAAGCAAACAAACAAGCTTAACAATACATCATGAGACATAACGCATCTTACTATAATCTTTGATGTGATGTTATCAATATATTTATTAATCAAAGCTCGCCAGGTTGTATCGACAATGTTTTATTTCCTGGCAGTTTTACAGTAAAGTTCCAGTATGATATTTAAATCATTATACGTGCAGTATAATTAAAGAAAAAATCAACTATAACGAGGAAATTTAAAGTTTCTGCGAATGTTTATCGTACTATTATATACAAAATAAAATTACATCATAAACCGGTTCTATCTGTACCTGGACAATATTTTTAGAAAGTTCTACAATAGTTACATTGCAGTGAGAATTTATGTAAATTACACATGACGTCAAAACCTGAAAACAAAATAAGGTTGAAAAAACTAAACGATTAAACCTTGCTTCCTCAGCTAATCATAATAAGTGGAATATTTGCAATAGTTCATAAACACAATAATAAGAATTTTACGATTAATCCTCAAAGCTCTCTTTACAAACCACGTGATCACAGATTTATCATGCGATCCGAGAATATGCTGGTACAAAACAATTACCTATCTTTGTTTTGAAGTATTGACATCCCAAACCTACCTTATTTAGTTATGCATATTAGAGGTAATTCAGAAATATAGTTCTTGTTGTTGTTTTTCACATCGTGATTGGTTTGGTTGGGATGTTCGCGCTAAGCTACACAAGGGCTATCCGCACGAGCTGTCTCAAATTTTGAAATGATAGACTAGAGCAGGAGTTGGCAACCTATGGTTCGCTAGCTAAACCTGGCTCTTCGAACGACGAACTATGGTTTTTAAGTCATTCACACACACACATTGGTGTCCTTTAACTATTGGCTCTAGAGGGGACGTAGCTAGTTAACATCACTCTGTATCACTCTTACAATAAACCCATGACCCCCAACGAAAACGGGACGCGAACCATGAGCCCTGGGATCCACTGTCCAGCACACTAATACTGTGGTACGCTAGTTTCATATATACTTTAAATATTGAACGCGAAATAGCTTCCACGTGACATTCATTGAAGCTAGCCGATCACACGAAAGGCGTGAAATGAGATGTCGGATATTTTATAATATATAAATAACGTAACTTTGAGAAATGTTTTCCTGTTTTACAGAAGTAATTCTTAGTTATCGGTACTTAAAATAACAGAAAATATACATACAGACACACAAAAAAGAGTAATGATTTGTAATGATAAAGAGTTATGAACCTACGTAAAAGTAAAATACTAAGATCGCATATGCAACTGTATATATTTCATAACCATCTCGTGTTTTACTGCCAAAAGATGTAAATAACTGACGTAACATAAGAACTGCCCTAAAGTAAGTTTGTAGTGAAGATGTTGATGTTCGTTATTGCTATAGAATTAAAAATTATAGTGTGATTAGTTCTTTACCTAAAAGTCTTATTTGTAAATGGCTTAAAAATTATAATAATTAAAATTCTTTGCTTAATGTTTACACCATTACAGTTGTTACTCATGAAAATTGATTATATATATATATATATAGTGCTTAGACCACTACAATGACTATCGTATCCTGGCCTGATGAATCCTGGTATTGGGCGAAAGGCCTCAACAGCACTGAATAAGATAGACGTAGTGTGGTTCAG